TTTCTCAATTAATCATTTTGTCTATAAAATAGTGACAATTACATCATCACCGTTTCCCAAAGCCCAATGTGTTGTCTTCAAATGTCTTAATTCCTCTGAACAACAGTCAAAGACCAAAGATATATTTTTACTTGAAAGTGGTTAACTGTTTATCAATACTGCTGCAGATTAATTCCCTGTCTATCCTGCAATCTTGAGGTCAGTAGAGGCTCCAAATCTCACTACATTGTCTCAAAATGAATGTGGTAATGATTTATTTAATGTTAAAATACTACAATACAATTTCTACGCAGGCTGGACAGTATGATCTTAAATCTGTAGGACATAATGTATCAACTTTCACACTAATTTGTATAAGAACGTTTAAATGCATCTCCTCTTGCTCACTTCAGTTTGTCCTGATTAATACGGTATAAACCAGTTAGAGATCTCAAACGTCTGGACTGGAGAATGAGACTGAATTGTTGAACTTGTGGTTTTACGTCACTGGTTGTTGCATCTATTTTAGTTGTATTGGACTCAGTAGTAGATTCAGTAAGAGATGCATGGCGCTGTTAATTCAGCACATTCGGTTTATTGCCCTCGTTTCTACCTTTAGCGTGGGACGTGGCGGCCGTGCTGTGCAGTTTTGCGGAAGTGTTGCCGTTCTCGCCGCTGAGCTCGTCTTAACTGTCTTAAATGTCTAAGCTGTCCATGTAGCCTAGAAGCTGTTCAACTGATCTTTAATCCATGCCAGCTTTCTCCTTCTTATCTGTTTCTTTTTCCCCTTCCCTCATGTCTCTTCTGTATCCTCTTACTTCACATACACGTGTATTCCCTCTTGCTGTGTTTTTCTCTTTCCTCAGATGAGTAGCTGTAGCTAAAATGGAAAGGAGATGACTAGTGTCCTCCTAATTATACCTCAGCTGTCATGTCCACTGTCTAAAACACTGTATCAGGTTGTAGTTATCGGATTATGTCAGACAAATTATAACTAAAATCAATGTTACCGTCACTGGTAATGTTGACATAATGCAGTGAGAGTACAGTGTAGCCAATAGGTCAATTATTTTAGCTTTTCAGATCAGATTGACCAGGATGAATGAAAGGAATCTGCTCAGTGTTTGTTCTCTGGGAGACGCCTGATAAATACAGGTTGTTGTTGCTCTCTCTCTCCCTCCTTTAATCATGCCTCTCTCTCTTTCTGTCTCTCCAAACCACTCTCTCCTCAGATGAATACAAGATGAAGGGAGTGGAGGAGGTGAAGTACATGAGAGGGGATGAAAACCGGGTGAATGCACGCAACCAGGAGAACCTGGTGAGAGACACACACACACACTAAACCCATCCACTGACAGCCCATCATCCACACACAGCCTCAGACCTTTCTCTGACAGTCTATCAGCTCAAGCGAACAAGCTTGTGTTTGTGTCCAAAGGCAGCTCCGTCAGCCCCGCACATACACACTTATTGTCTCTTGCACACATGCAAAAACACACAGAGGTTCCTCACACGCAAGTAGAGACAACATGCTGGCGTGTATGGAATGTGGGGGCTGATTGCTCGGTTGGTTTGACTCCGTACGGCAAAACCTGACGTCTTAAACAGCAGAAAATAAATGTTATATTGTCATTTTTTTTGTATTAATAACTATCCAACCCCTTTTGCACGTTTAACCTCCAGTTTATAAAGCTTGAACATATTTATATCCTTCTCAACACATTGAATGACGGAGGAGGTGTGAAGCGAGAGCCTGTTTGCTTATTCAGGCAAATCAGGTCAGCCTGCCTGGCGTCCTTGCAAGCGGGGAAATAATAACCAATGTAACTATAAATCCTGATTAAAAAACAGAAGTAGTCTCACATCGCCACTAATATTTATTACTGCAGCTCAAATACCAGCCTTGTCACAGTAACTGGCTACAACCAGAGGGGAAGCATCTCTTATCATCTGAAACTTTATCCCACAGCAGCACAAGAAAAGATTTCACATGAAGATGAAGATCAGATAAAATGCTGCTCAGATTATGACCTGTTGACGGCCTCATGCAGAAAGCGTATTTGTGTTTTCCCAATATCTCTTGGATACAACAAACTCTGTCGCAAACAAACACATAGTTTGAACCTCAGAAATTGTTTAAATATCTTGTTTAAAACGGAAGACATGATGTGTTATTTAGTTCAATGAGTTATTGGAAGACCCAACCGCATTTTTTACACTACCAGGTTAACCTCCAGTACAGTCACTACATGCGGTCAGACTAGTATTTGTTTCCTACCACTTGTCAGTACTGTAGGTTTTTCCTGTCACAGAGGAATTCCCACACACGCACAGTGAGTGGTGACAGATGCAGGTTACAGTATTTATTTATTTTTTTTTGGGTTGAATCACTGCAATATTTCACCGTAGCAGGAAACTGTATACAAAGTTGATGCTGGCCAACCTTCATCAGAGTTTCAGTTTTATTAGACCTACATACATTATATCTGTGCTCGGTGTCCTGATGTTGTGCAGTGCCAGCTGGGTGAGGACGTAATTTGATAATGCAGGTTTGATGTGTGCTTTCAGTGGTGGGGCTGTTTGCTAATATGAGTTGTTTGTTTTTTATTGTGTTTTTATCAGCTGATAATGAAGAGTAATGGTGTATGTGTGTCTGTGTGTGTGTCTTTCAGGAGAAGAGTAATGTGCAGTACAGGGGAAAACCGCAGAAAGAGGTCGCTGCAGCAAACATCAAGTCAAAGTAAGTGGCCAGCAGCAGTCTGTGTGCTGTAAATCTCTAGTGGATATTGTATAAAAATATATGATCTATATATTATGGACAACTCTGATTATTTGAACACTTGATCACAAATATTGTTAAAAGGTTGGTTCACAGATTGGTAACACTTTTTTTCTTACCTCCAGCGGCAGCCTACAGATAGTTTTGGATTTTATTGATCACGTTTAGACTAATTGAATTAGATTTGTGGTGCTTGCATTGAAATATTCAATTTAAAATTTCCAACAGCAACATGTCCTTCTAAAAACAATGTCACAGTTACTATTGATAATCCATAGACCTCACTGTAGTCCATTTACATGGACGAGACGTCCTTAAAATGTGGAGAAAAAAACATTTATACTCCCATGACAACTGGGCAAACTTCATCTGCTGAGGAACATTGTGCGCTATAACCGAAAGCTCCAGAACAGCTACTGATTAATGTTGTGATGGTATTGTTTTGCCAGCTTACTGTAGGGGTATTACTTTAATAGAAATTGTTTCAATTCCATTATGTCCAGTGTCCATTAAATGCAACTTAGAATCAGTATGTTAATATTATGATGTGTGAAGTAAGTGATATTTTGTGTCTGGTTTTTGTAATGCTGCCTCTTGGCCAACTTCAGACTGTGTGTGTGTGTGTGTGTTTGTGTGTGTGTGTGTGTGTGTGTTAAGTCTTTGTATATGTATACATATTGGTTGTTGGTGGCTGCAGAGTATTTAGCCTTTGGATGAGAGACCGGGTTAATACTTTATAAAATAATTATTTAAATTCCTCCAGCAACCATGGATTTCTCACACTGCAGTGAGGATTGTGTGTGTGTGTGTTTGTGTGTGTTTGTGTGTTTGAGTGTGTGTGTGTGTACTGGGGTGTGTACTGCTGTGTTTGTGCTGTGTGGGGGGTGTAATGGAAAATTCTCATGATGTATTTGTTGCCTCCCTCCTCCTCGTCTCCCAACATCCTCTCCCCCTCCCTCTCGCTTCTCTCTCTTTCTCTCTTAGTATTCACACGTCAGAGAGCCAGCAGGAATTTTTCAGGATGCTGGATGAGAAGATTGAGAAGGTGAGGCGGGGGGGGGGGGATGTGTGTGTGTATATGTGTGTGTGTTTAAGGGGCATAGAATGGGTCTCGGAGCGTTTAAAGAAACAGCTGGGTCTTAACATTTAAAGAGACAGGCTGTACAACAACATCCATTAGTCCACATTGTCATTCTGCTTAGGAGCTCAACACTCGGCTCCACATGTGTGAGGGGGAGGAACAGGTCATCGCTGTAATGATGAGCACTTACTTCTCTTAGTCTACCACTTGAATTACACCAGTTGTTTCTGACTATAGATGAGGTTGCAAAGTGAACTGACAGTGAGCAGCGGCTCGTTTCAGCTTTGGTGTGCTACATTTTATTTTTTTACCCTGTCAGTGTGTTTTCAGAGGTATTCAGGTTGCAATAGAAATATTAAATATAAGTCACAGGAAACAGTCCTGCATTCCAATTTTTNNAAATATTTTTGTATTAATAGAGGATGAAATTATTAATGTGAAGTAGGTTTCCCATAATGATGAACCCTCAAAGAATTATCGTTAGGCTCTCCGGTTTCCCTGCTTGTCATTTGTGACGCAGCAGACAGCTGTCTTAGTGGAAAAGCTAAAAAAAAATAAACCTCACTGTATGCAGCCTGTGCAGCTCAAAATGGAATGGCTAGCTAACGTAGTGGATCATTTAACAGCTGAACAGCTAAATATTTCCTCAAGAGTTGGTAGAGACCAAAAACAGAACTAAAAGAACAGTACATATTGGATTATTATTGGTCAGAAACACAACTCAAAAGTAATGCTAATGTTACATAATGCTGCTGATATTTTTAATTATGAATTATTTTTCTTTCTTTGAATAATAAATGAATTGTTTGGTGTACAAAATATCAGAAAACTATAAAACCCCACAATTCTTTACAAACAAGGTTACAGCTTCAAAATTGCTTGTTTTGGCCGACAAACAGTGTAAAGATATTCAGGTTACTATCACATAAGACAAAGAAAAGCATCTAGTAGTTTTTTCATTTTGCTTGAAAAACAATTAAGTATCCAAACTGTTGCACTTAACAATTTTTTCGATAGACTAATTGATTAATCAACTAATCCTTTCAACTGTAATGTGCTTAATAACATGTTACCATGGCTGTCAGATAAATGTAGTGGAGATTAAAAAAATTAATGAGTGAGTTAAAGTGGCATAAAATGGAAAATATGGTAGTTAAGTACCTCAAAGTAGTACTTAGGCACCCTACTTTTGTAAACGCACTTGCACCACTGATTTGCAGTGTACTACTGAGGCAGCCTGCGCCTTTAAAGCCTTATTTAAAGAGACACAGAGTGTAGCGTTAGACAAGCTGTTAGGCGGGCTCTGGAGAGGAGAGGAAAGCAGATGAGTTAGCTCCTTATCACGATGCAAGAAACAAAACAACATAACTGCTCATCTGTCAGCCCTTTACAGCCTCATCCGGTGCTTTCTATGTCAGTACCTGCAAATAGACGAGGGTTCGTTTTAAACGTGACTGGAGTAAGAGGTGCGTGGGTTTGCCAAATGCAGACAGTTCAGTCATTCAAAGTAGGATATTACTGGGTATACTTAACTGGAACAAATTAGAGTAGAGAAAGCAGGAAAATCATGCACATCTCATATTCTCCCTAATGCTTTTCTTTGTAGGGGCGAGACTACTGTTCGGAGGGGGAGGAGGAAGATGGGACATAGCACAGAGGCCCCCAAGATTCACCCCCACAGAGAGCCTCACAGTGTGTGTATGTGTGTGTGCGTGAGTGTAAATGCGTACATGTGTGCTTATGTGTGCCTGGAAGAGAGAGAGAGAGTTGAATCAGTGTTTTACCAATGAGGCGTCGATTTGACAGGACACTGTATGTGTTGGTATGAGCATGTGTGTGTTTATGAACGTATGGCAAAGATAGTATTTTAATCAAAAGTGAAAGAGTGGGGGATAAATGTGAGAGAAAGAGAGGGAGAGAAAGAAAGAATGGGATAAAGAACACTTTCTTCAGAGACTACAGCCCTCCTCGCTTAGCGCCTCACCCCTTCAGGCCCCTGAGCGGACAGATGGAGGTGGCGGAGCGATGAAGGGACAGACAGATGAAAGGAGGGAGAGATGGAGGAGGACGTGACGACGGATGGGCACATGTCGCCGTGAACGGGAGAGAAGGACTTGCCACAGTCGGGGTCAAACTGAGTAATTTCCTCAAGCAGGACAACAGCAGCTCCTCGTCCCTCCATCTGTCCCCCCGCCCCGTATCTGTCCGTCTGTACCTCCTGAATATTTAACCCCGGCGACTGGACAAAAGGAACTCCCAAAATATGGAGACCCATTAGGGACAAATGTCGGTTTACTGAGAAGACACACAAGTGAAGAAGCCCAGGGGAGGAAAAGATGGTGAAGGCAGAGGAGTTACGCAACGCCACCAGGATCCACACTGAACTTTTTGGCCTGTCTAGATACAGCCAGGCCGGCCTGGGCCACGAGGGACTGAGAGAATGGGTGAGGGAGGGTGAGGGAAAGTGGAAAATAAAGAGTGAGAAATTTGTGATATTTTAATAAGAGAGAGTAGGGAGCGAGCTGGTGATTTAGAAACTCTAAACTCCTCCTGCCTTCTGAAGTCAAGGACCTTTTTTTTTTTTTTTTTTNNTTCAGTTATTATTTTTTTTCCTTTTTCTTCAGTTTGTTTTTATTCTTGGCTTCCTTCGTAGTGTATCATCATCATCAATGTCATTATCATCCTCATCACCGCAGCAGGCAGACTGAAGCTGCGTTAATTCAGAGCATCTGTGTCTCAACCCGATCCATCCTCCTTCATATGTACCATCACACTGCAGATACTAGCTCACACACACACACACAGACACACAGTCTTTTATTGTACATATGGTAAAACACACTTCTCATTCCCACACACCCGCAAGCATGTACCATTAATAACCCACACAAACACACATGCATGTTATGTGTATCCCTTTTCATATTCACCAGCAGACTGTCATGTGCATCAGTCAGAGGTTATTCTGTTAAAGCTCTATTTCTGTTGCTTTGGTTTTAGTGTCCAACAACACACTCATGCACACACTCTCACACACACACACGCGCACACACACACACACACAGGTACTGAAGCAGCAAACCGGGCTGAGATCAAGGGGAGGATGCGTGGTTGCCATATAGACACAGACCTGATCACATCTTTTGTTGTCATCTTTACTGGATACCTACTGTTGTATTATTTTGAATACGTTTTTTCTATTAAAATTAAAAACGAAGAAGCTCTTAACGTGCGTGGCATCTTCGTATCTGGATTGTGTGTGTGTGTGTGTGTGTGTGTGTTGTATGCTATGAGCTGAGTAATGGAGCGCAGTCATGCTGGCAGTGTACTGAGGAGTGTGAAGTCGGTCTATTTTCCTGTGGTCATGCTGCCTAAAGCCATGCAGTCAGAGCAGATTCACTCAGAACACCAAGACTATGTTATACCACCTGCTGGCACAACATCAGTACTGCAGTCTAGCAGGCATTATGTTCCTGTAAACATTTCACAATTTAACATTATGTCTGCATGAGGGGGGTTTTGAGTTTTTTTCCCCTTCCCTCTTCTTCAACTAACAGTCAGTCCAATAACTGTTGAGGCAAGGAAGGTTTAGCATCTTTCAAACACTGGTGATTCAAAGAGATTTACGTCAGGAAAAGAGTTGCAATAGAACATTAAAAGTGAGATTATAATTTCCAAAGAATTATTATTTTACATTAAAAGTTAGATAAATAAGAAATAAACAACCCTTGATACAATCAGGAGTTTTGCTTACATCCTTACTTGCTCTGCTATGTCCAGTAGTTGATGGTGGCTCATTTGTAGAAAATGTTAACAAACTTTAGATAAATGTTGTGGTGTAACTGACATTGCTGATTCAGTTTTATAACCTTGTGTGTCTTCTTTACTTTAACTACTATATTTTAATATTAACCATAATCCCATAATTGTCATTTGCCACAGTGGCTGCTATTCGGCAAAAATAGTCTCACTTTACATTACAGTGAAACTGAAAATAAAGTCAATTAAAGCTAAACTAACTAATATTTTTAGATGACTAATTATAATGTAAAAGTAGCTTGCAACTTTACTATTCTGGTTCACGCTCACAGCTCTCATCAGCGTGGTTTCTGGCTACTTCAGCAAAAAGGCTCTGACAAACCCACCGCACACTCCCTAAACCAACAAACAGCAGACAGACACACTTCAGTTAGTAACTAACTAGTGAACATATCAGACCATTTAGTGGGTAAAGAGCCAGATATTTTCCTCAGGAGTTGGTGTAGACCAAAAACTAAGCAGTTATTGCAGGTTTAAAGTATAGAAATACAAGCATAGAGACTGTGGGTTACTGTTGGTAAGCATGTATTGCTTTATGGCCCATTATGGGAGTGTCTGTGCAGGGAAATCAATGATAAGATATCAATAGAAATCAAAGCAGCTCCTCCTTGATAATTCCAACAAACATGGAGGTGCAATAAATAACAGTTGTAATTCATTGTGATAAATCCTGATCACTTGTTTTTATAATGACCAATTTAATGATAAGACTGATATCAATTGGGCGACTTTCCTTTACAAATGACTACATGATGTGTTAATATATAAAACCCGAGAGCTGAATCAATATCTGCTCCTAAGCTCGGCCTAATGTGCTCCCTGTGGGATTGGACGCCATCGTGCTTTGAGTGAGTGTCAATGGTTAAGTTGATTACCACATTATGAAAGGAGCACTCAGTGGCCTGGCAGTTCCTTTAATACCCAACAGTCTCTCTCCAACACATAACACACACACAAACTCCTTCTTTACCTTGCATGACTCACTTGCAGGAGCACATAAGGTTACAATGTGCAGCCACTGTGCACATCAGCAGCGTGAAAGGGTCCCTGTGGGCCTGTGCTCGCAGCAAGGCTCTCCCACACAGAAATAAATGTGTGGTGAGGGCAGACAGAGGGAGGTGGGCGAGGTAAGAGCGAGAAATTAAGACGAGGGAGTTGGGAAAGTGAGAATGTGGGAGGGAGAGAGCGAGGAAGAGACGGATGTTGCCCGTTAACCTCAGACAGGAATATGGGCAAGAAAATGTTCTTTCCACCCTGACGTAAGTACCAATAAAGAGTCCACTCCTCCTCCCTGCTTTGTGTGTGTGTGTGTGTGTGTGTGTGTGTTTAACTGTTTTGTGTGTGTGTGTGTGTGTGTATGTGTAAGAGTGAAATAGAGCCCAAAGTGTGAGAGTCCTTATTAGGGTACAACATGTTCTTGGCTGCTAATGTGATTGAAGTCCAGATCCTTAAATAAATCTGAGCCAAATTCACATTCATAGCTGAACATTTGTCTTAATGAGGAAAAATCAGTAGCTTCTTTGCATAAATAAGAATATTACTGCTGTGTTTGCAAACATTACTGATGCAAACACATTAATAACTTGGAATTAGTTGATGTCTAGGGTTAATCCATGTATTAAAATACCTGCCAATCAATTTGAGAGACAGCAGGGTCCTGTGTTTTGAATTTTATTGGTGGAATGACCTTAAAGGTTATATTTGTATCACAGACTGGGCCTTCTAACAGCAAACCTTGCAGGTTACATAATGTGCCACACCTCAAAACATTGAAATGAAGATGAGATAAAAGCTTTTGAAGTTTGAAGGCTACTAGGCCAAAAACAAATCATGGTCAGACAAAATTGGATACTGTGCTGTGTTTGGATGGCCAAAAGGGCATCTACTGTGCGCTAGGCTAGTTAGCTTTTAGCTGGACTTTATGTGTTGCTTTTACCATTAGATTTAACTGCTGCCTTATTAGTGTGGTACCAAGATGATGCAGCCTTAAAATGGATTTTTCAGTTACAGGAAACAGTTGAGACAAAGCCTGTAAATTAGCTTTAGCTGCAGTCCAACTATTAGCTGGAGTAGGTCACTGTGGTTTGGTTTTTACCTAGGCCTACCTTTTCATTGTCATTCCTACATATTTTACATGTTTTTGTTTTTTCTTTGCAGAGGTTTTACATTTCTGTGGCATAATGATTTATATAAGGTAAGACAAAAAACAAGACGAGGAAGAAGGCTTGGATAAAGTGCTTTATTGCATATGCAAGATTTGTGCAGAAATAAGAAAAAGCAAATGTGTTTGTGTGTGTGAATGTGCAGCAAGAAAGAAACAAGCGGGGAGCAGTAAAATATTACTGGTTGGTTGGTGGAACTACTGAATTAACGAAATCGTGATCATCTAACGATTCAAACACGAAGTCTTTGTGAGATTTTCAATTTCATGAATCAAAAAGGTTTGTATTACTTCTCTTATATTGGCATGTTTGTCTGTCTCTTTCACAACAGTTTTAAATTTACTGTGTGTGTGTGTGTGTGTGTGTGTGTGTATTTGTGTGTATTTGTGTGTATGTGTGTACATGCAAACGTTGCCCACATAGAGTATGAGTCAACCCTGAGAAGGAAAAGGGATGGATCTCTGCCTGGATGCCCAGCGGGCCTTTGCTCAGTGTCTTAACTCTCTCCAGCAGTTCCTCGCTGCCTAATACCCACTTTGGAGTAATCTACCTCTAGTAGCTCAAAACACATTTGTTTAGAAATGTGGCAGCACCAGCCTCTTAACCATCTTGCTCTCACTCAGTCTGTGGAGAAGTATGATTTTTCTACAGTACACCAACTATACTCCTGTGTCTCTAAGTCAGCCCAGCTTCTCTCTCCCCTCCCCAGCCATTTGTATGTAAAGCCTCTCCATGCAGATCCATACTCTGGATTACCTTGGCAAAGAAGCAACTCACATGATGGGGGGGAGGAGGCAAGGCTTTAGGAAGGTAGAATTAGATGCATTTGCATTCATGCTGCACATCCACAAGAAGTGACCTACTTAAATCTTAGGAAGCTAATTGCTCAGTGTAAACACACCATTTTTCAAGTTATATCAAGTCTGGATGCGTCTACTTAATGTCAAGTGCACAATTTGACGGCTCAGCTACATTGGAAATTGTTTGTGAATTCCCTGAATCACTGAAGTGACCAGCAGAGTAGGAAGGCTTGAAATGGATAGCCAGAGAGCACTGATTGCTTTTATGGTTTTGCCCTCGTATTGTATTTTACTGCAGTCCGCCAAATTCACATTAGCTGAGCAAGCGGTCAATGCCTGGAGCAGGACCGGTGACTTGAGCCCAGTGGTACTGAGGAGACTGTGGCTGTGCAACAGTGGCAGGAGCTTCAAGGAGACAATTTCAGCAATCTCAATCATCTGACCAGGATGAGTGGTTTACTCTCACGCTGTCTGGTTCCCATTACACAAGACACTGTGTGAGTATGTGTGTGCGTGTATCAATGTGTGTGTGGGAGTGACAAAGAGAGAGATCAAGGATAAAACAAGAGCACCACCTGCTGGTTCGGGCTTTCCCATGACTCACACTCGCAGTGTATGGGCTCCCTCCGAGAGCTCTGCATGATCAGGCACTATCTATTGGAGCTGTACATCACCCTGACAGCCGTTAGGAAGGCATGAAGTCCTAAACCACCCACACACTCACACACGCACGCACATATAAATCAGCTCTCTCCTCTCCTCTCCTGAAATTACTTGTTTCCACTGAGCCTTACATAGAGCGCTTCACCAAACTGCTGTGTTAAAAACTAAAATTTTATGTGCTGTACCTGTAATATCTCATACTTGAGGCTCATAGCAATGTGTTTTTTGTACATTACATTTCCCATATATATTATGTTTTGGTGGCATGAACTCATCATCTGTCATTTTTTTTAAAAATGAACCTTGTGAAGAAGTGCCACAATCCTATATAACATGTGGTGCATATTTATCCTGGAGTTTTGTGTATGACATTTCTTTCTATTTATTGAACCTAGTTATGAAGGATTTACCCTGCTATTTAAAGCTAGCTATTTAAGCTAGGCTTTCTCTGCAACCACACTTTAACAAACCAAATGCTTGGCAGTCCTTAAAACACCCTTATCCCATACATAACTTAAAAAAATTATACAGTTCTGCTCTATCTGTCATCCATAGTTCAGTTACAGAGGAACAAATGGCTGCATGTCAAGTACGCAACCAAAATTACAAAGCAGATGTTTTCCTATGACAGATGAGGGAATACACGAGCCATTTGAACACATGAAAATGTATCATAGACTGCCCGGTGTTGAATCCTGACACTCCGCCAACAGGGTGAGGTTGTTTTTTGAAAACTGAGTAGAAAGTACAGAGCGGAGTGACTTGGTTTAGTCATTTATTTATATGCATTTTCCTCTTATTCTGGGTTCAAAGCTAAACATTCACAGTCCAGTGTGAGTTGAGTTTGGCCCTAGAAGTTACTGTTTACGTGCCTCTGAGCAAATCCCAAAATGAGCAGAATGATCCTGAGCTCTGACCTTTGTTTTTGACAGCTGTGTGCGGGGATAAAAGCTAGACTGCAGCTTTAAAATGTCAGCAAACCCCAGAGAGAGAGTTTTTTTGTGAATTTTCAGTGTTGTCTGGGGGTTATAAGCTCGTGCATCTGGTGTGGGAAGGTTGTGCTTTAGTGGCAGCTTCCTCCGTATGTTGGTGTTTTTAAAAAAACCCCATCTTAACTGGGGAAAGCACTAGAGGGAGCTAAGGCATTACTGAGACATATTAAAATCATTGCTCTCTCTCTGTGTCTGTCTGTCTCTCATCTACAGTGACTAAGAGCATCCAACAACAGAGAACATGGCAGAGTACTCTCATTACCTCAACGAAGAGGGAAAACATTACCAGGTGGCAGAGATCCTAGCTTAAATAAACAGAGCAGAGTCGAGACAGGGACAGAAGCAAGCGGGATTTGCCCGACTGTCTGTGCTGTGACTGCACTATAATTAAAAAGGGTTACTGGGGTGTTACTGTAATCATATAAGAACACACAGTGTAATATTATAATAGCATGTAGAGCATGGATGCCAACTTTTGGACCTGGTAGCATATCGTTGTGGATTCTTTTCTATTGACTCTACATAGTAATTCCACATATTTACAGAAAACTTCAGATTTTTTGTGGAAAGTTTGCAAAGCTAAGAAGTTGTTTTTGTTTTGGTGCCATTTTGGTTAAATGTTTGTGTCATGGTGTCATTTTGGTTTGGCATATTTTCTTCTGTCATGCACTAGTTAGATGTTTTGTTTTGGTGCCAATGTTGTTCATTGTTTCATGCCACTGACTGAAACTTTCTTATATACTTAAGTCATGTCATTAATATATTCATTCACATTTTTTAGACCCATTTCCATTTTATTGTCTGTTTTCTTGTCTTTGTGATAATATATTTTTAAGCTAATCTAATTGGGTTATATAATGGTTTATTTAGCTTATTATCTATTTTCTCAACCCATAAAGGAACACTTAATCCTTACTTATTCTGAAAGATCAACACATTTTGAGACACATGTTTTACCCCACCCCCTGTTTAGCATTGATAAGCAGTATATAAACATTTTATAAATGGTTTATAACACACTATAATATAGTTAGCAAATATAAGATCATTTTAAGTATATTATATTAATAAACACTTAAACTGTCCCTAGTTTATAGCTCCTTATAACTACATTGTAATGTGTTCTAAACAATGTATTATTTTGTTATATAGTGCTCTTTTTCATCTTTGTCAATACATTTGTTTAAATAAAAACAGTAACTCCAGAGAGGAGACGTAAGAATGTGCAGCAGTGTGTCGGAGGGTTGATGTCAGAGCTGGTGACTTCATGGTCTCCAGCTCTACAGCATCCAAGAGACTGTCAAGGGCGAAGGCGTGGAAAAGGAAAGAAACACTCAGAAAACATGCAGTAAGAATTAAGGATGAGAAGCAGAGATGGATCAACAGGCTGCGCACCGACATCACGGGCAGTGACTTAGAACATGGTGTCCTTCACCTGCTGTAACACACAATCCATTCACCATTCACTACAGAGAAATGGATCAGTAGTAGTTGATGCGTTCAAGCCCCTTTCTGGTTCCTACCTACCGTGTGTGTAATCTATCATAGGGGGAGGGAGAGGCTCCACACCAGCAGCACGCAGGGGCAGCCATCAGCGTAAGTGTAGGAGGGGTAAAAGAGGAAGCTCTCCACCCACTCTATCCCCCCTCTTTTACCTTCCTTCCTTCTCTCCCCCTCCCACCATAGCTCACTCCCTCTCTCCCTCACTCACACACAGCTCTCTCGCTCAGTCTCAGGACTCACGGCGGACTCTGAAAGCGAAGATGCGGGCGCTCGGGGCCGTGGGAGTCGTGGGTGTGCTGTGGGCGCTGCTGGCCGCTCTGGTGCCCGGTGGCGTGTCGGAGCTGGTGACGCTGGTGCAGGAGCCGGTGAAGCACGAGTCTAGCCTGCTGAAGCCAAAGGTTATGATCGCCATTGTGGCTCGTAACGCGGCGCACAGTCTTCCACACCACCTGGGCTGCATCGAGAGGCTGGAGTACCCTAAGGAGCGCATAGCGATCTGGTGAGAGACCCACAAACAGGGATGCAACGGTGACTTTAGTGGGCTGGCGCGACTCTTACAATAAGTTTTCAAACAATGTTGTGCAAAGGTTTCTGCAAGTATGAGTACTTTTCCTATTACCATGGACAGTTTTAGAGCAATAGCCGTCTTTTTCCCCCATCAAATGCGCACTTTCAGCAGGCTCTCCTCAGAGTGCACACAGTGCATGATGCGATGTGATCTGCAGTGGAGCGTGTTGTAATGAAAAGCAGCGTGTGTCCGCGTTAATTATAATAACACATTGTCAGTATCGGCTCGCAGACCTGTTGCTGCGTTTTTTTTACGATGCACTTACCTCGCGTGTCTGTCAGCATCCAAATTGCACACTGTGGGAGAAGATGAAAGAGCTGCAGTGCATGTTGGGTTAACCCTTAATCACGGTTCAAACCGTCTGATTCAGCACAAACCTGTGGAAACGGGGCTTTAAAACAGCAGGGCTGCCAGGTATGAACAGGGGGGCCTCACCCCAGGTAGGGTCCTGTAGTGTGTTTTGGTCTCATATACCAGATAATATAATCAAAGAGGGACTCTGCAGGTGAAGGGATGAAAGGAGACATTGAGTTGGTCTGACAGCAGGACTGAAGGTGGGGGTGGGGAGTTAGGGGTGAGTTCTGGGAAGTCATGCGTAAAGTGTGTGTGTGTGTGGGTGGCTGTGTGTGTGCCTTTGTATGGTCTGCATGGGGGTCATGCAGGCTGGTGGATCAGATAAACAACCAAAGGAAGAGACTGAGGGATTTCTGATTAGAGGCAGGTTGAAAGTGCAGATGTGAAGAATGTGAGATGGGTCTAACAGTCACATGCAGCTCTGGTGGTGGATGTTTGCAATGCCTTTCCCCTCGATGTCCGTATCCCAGAGACACTTTCTGCTGTTTTGTTTCCCACCCTTCCCTTTGCTTGAATGTCTTGCTATTGTTTACAGAGTGACTGTCTGTTTCTAATTCAGAGACCCTCACTAAAACACACACACATGCTGGAGAAACTCAATACAGAGAGGGCCCTGCTCTCTGGAGCAAAGTGCCAAAGTGACTAAGCTAACATGGCTTTGTTAGCGGTTTAACTAACAGAGGAAGGGCCCCATCAGTTATGAGTGGCATCTCTCTGCCCTGCAGTCAGTGCAGCCAGGGGGGAAAAACGGCTGTGTATATTTGAGGCAGATAAGTCCTTTGTGTCACACAAGTATGTTTGTTGTATCAGCAAAGTGTCACTGAGACAGACACATAAAGTCCAAGTCATCGGACTGTTTTATTCAGGCAATTAATTTTTATTTCAGCAGCCACATAGTCTTTCCACTACTGTGGCCTTATTGACCACACTCATCAGCTGTCATAAAGTATTCTGGTATAAGACTTTATGACGCACTATGCTTTAAATGCAGAAACATTATTAGTGAACAGCCAGCCTATTTAGCACATGAGGAAATTGAGTGTGCAGTGTGAGCGTCGTCCAGTAGACCATTAAATGATCAGATGAAAATAAGAGCTACTGAATAGTGATTCTGTAGTATGTTGTTTCTGTGGTGATTATAAATGTGAAGAAGTAGCTGTTGGAAACAGAAATCCTTTTAAAGTGATGGTTATTAATGATTGGTTTTAAAAAAACTTAATTGGCCTTTTGTGGCAAAATAAGAAAATGTCACCTTTTACACAACATAACTCATACAGCACTGTGCTTCTTTGTTTCTCTGTCGTAATTATTACTGCCCAACGTGCAGGCCAAGCCACCCAATAAATGCCAAATTGTAATTCAACTCTCGCTAAAAGCATTAATCCTCATTATAGCATTGTGCAGTGTGTTACAGAGCACTAAATGGTTGTGATATGACAATCAGGACAGTTGTAAAGGACTTTTATTTCAACTTAATTTAACATTCCTACTGGAAAAAAACATGGCATGGCATTTTTGTCTTTATTTGACAGTACAAAGTAGTGAGAAGCTTCGGGGAAGTAGAGAGAGGGGGATGACGTGAGTAGAGGGACCCCAGCTGGACTCAAGCCAAGGACTTTGTGGTTATATGATATTCACCCGTAAAGCAGCCAGGTTTCTCCTCTTCACTACTACCCACAATTTGTCTTTAGATAGATCATGGACAGACTCGAAAGAAACAGAAAAACAGTTAATACCACCAGTGTCGGCTGTTAAGCTCCAGTTTTTTGTGTGGGGACACAATGTTCCTCACAGTAGTTCCTCTGTGGAGCTTCAGACTTGAGCAAAGGAGTGTTTTTCCCCTTCATCTCCCCTCTACTCATTTCAAACATGCAATCCAAGGGAGACAGAGCGAGGAGGAGGAGTAGAGAAGAAGGATGTAGCTGATTAAATATAATAATAAAGTTGGTTTTATTGTGGCAGGAGCTCAGCTACCCTTTAACCTCCACCTGTGGGACCAGAGAAAGGTAGTTTTTTTCCTGCTCTGTGGTTGTACTGCACTTGTGTGAATGTGCATGTGTATGAGATCCCTGCTCTGGTCTTAAACGAAACAATTCTGCAATACATCATGTATGTTTCCAAAGACCTAGTCAGGATTTGGACCGTCTGAGGATGTTGGGAGGACCAAAGTTTCTAGTATGAGCCTGTTCACAGGATAATCTCCACTGATCATCCCAGTCAGGTCTCCTCCACACCCCTGTTACCTCAGTCTCTGACTCACCCTGAAAGTTGCGAGGTCAGTACAATCTGCCTTCAGAAGTTTTTGCCTCAGCAAGTGGGTGCAGGTCTTAGAGAGAAGTAGCAGAGCGGTGACAAATACTCTCACACTGCTGTTAAAGAATGAAAGAATGCAGGAATTTAGAGAAAGAGGGGGAGGGTCGGGCGGAGAGAAGGTGGTCAACAATGCTGGGAAATTGCCCAGAGGGCATTTAGCAGATTGGTTAATCCAAATTCCCACAGTAGCTTGACCACATCTCCTCTCACTTTGTTCTGTTAGGGTGGCACTACAAGATAATGAATATTGTTTTTCTGAAAGGCAAAGAAGTGTAGAGATATTGGAAAAATGGATAAAGGGATACGATGGCAACCAAGGTTACATAGTCACACAGTTTTAGACCTAATTGGACTCCTCATGAGTGAGAAGTTAAGTTAAGAAATCAGCAGGTTTTATCTTTTGCCAGTTAACAGTCGAGTTTCACACCCGGCTTGCAGGAGTTGCTATTTTTAGTATACAGCTTCAAAGGAAATCATAGAGGATTTCATAAGCAGAGAGCTGTGTGTTTGTCTTAACACCCAAGGCACAATGCAGACAATTCTCTTCTCTCTAAAGTTTCGCCCGGCGTGCTATTCTTCTGCTCCTGACGCTGCTTGTTGCTGGCTGCCTGCTGTTTACTGCCTGCCGGCTGGGTTCATGTAGTGGAGTGCTTTCCCAGGTGCTGAGCTGGGGTTGAGATGATGATTTGTGGACTTTTGAGAGACAGACTGAACCATAAAGAGGATCTCGGAGCAGTGACATCATCAGCCTTCCCAGCAGGACTGGCTTTCTCGCTCTCACAGTGTCATGTTTTATTGTCTTGTTTACTCATTTATCATATAACTGCTTATTCAATATTTATGACCGTCATTGTACTTTATAGTCAGAGACAAGTATGGGGATTGTATGAATTTACACTGGGTAACTTTTAACAACCAACAATCCCTATTATTATTCAATCACTGGTAGAACAGCTGTAAACCCTGACGCACCCTAAGGTACAATGTGACTATATTAGTTAAGAATTTTCCACAGCTGCCCAAATACATGCTGAATGCCTCAGTGACTGATGGCATGTGTGGACTGTGGCTCCTGTCAGACACTGTGTGAAGTTTTATGTAATTGTATCCCGTATCTACTATATCACGTCCTGAGTAGATTGATGTGAGATTATTAGATGCTCCATACCCGATCCAGCTCCACTCAAGCATTTGATAGAAATCATTTGCCCCCTGTGATATGATGTAAAATGACATAAGCAATATTTAAGTTATTTTGACAAGTGCACCAAGTTAATAAACGAACAATAAATGGACCATAAAAAATTAGGCATGAATGTTAAGCGAATGTCATTTTGACTATATGATTTATGCTGGCTGCAGGGTTGTGCTTTGTAGAGGCTTGCCCTTCTTGTATCAAGTGCCAAATTTTACTTTTTAAAAATGTTTTCATGTTTGTTCACTTGGTCTTGCTCTGTTTTCACTTTGGGGCAAAAATTAACCCTATAAGGTCATATTCAGACTGACAATGGTAATAAAACCCCAAAAAAACTAACTGCAGGTGCATATCCAGGGCAAACCCCCAACTGAAAATATGTTCCTGCATACCTGTGCATGCTAGAGGTGCCTGTTTTAGTTTCCTGGCTCTGTTTTGCAGAAACTCTGTAAATGCCACTGTGTAGCAGATCTATTGTTCCTTATTTCAATTCCCTCTGACTGACAGATGTTGAAATAGAAGAAAATGGGAAGAATCAAACAGGCTAAAAAGGTTATCAGTGTTGTGATGTTGGATAGCCGCCCCAGGGGTTTCCCAATGCCAGGTGTGTTACCTCAGTGACCATTCCTCTGTGGGAGTACTCCCGCGAAGCACAAGTTGTTCCTGGTTTTGTCACGCAGGGGTTTTGGCCATAAGAGAACAATTTATTAAAGTGTATGGAATAAATTATCAGGATGGGATAGACCATTGTGTGTTATCTGGTGCCGACAACATGGGCATTTGTGAACGATTAGCAGCATATGCTTTTGGTGTTTGTCAATACCTATTAGATCACAGCACTGGCGCTCTGCACTAAAATGAGTGGATTTGATTATCTTCAATGTTCTGGTGCAAGTATGTCTATGAATGTTCAATGTGTGTCTCTTCTCACATATGCCTGTGTGTGTTTGAATGCCATTACACACATAATGGGTGTTTCTGCTCTGCTCCTCTGGCTCAACCCGTTTTCCATTCACTTCTCTAATTACCTCATAAGGCCCACAGTGAGCCAGAACCTCCATGTGTAGAG